GAGGAATTAGACATAAGCATGGAAAAAAGTCTCAACTATATGAGATTGATGACTTTTAAATAAATATTAAACATGACTTTTCTTGGAAATCTCCATTTCCTTGCCTATGAGTGTAGAAAGCAAACACTGCATCTGTCATCCTTTTCTGTTGTACAATTAAGTCAAATTACCTAAGAGAGATATTCAATCCTCTCAATTACAAGGACTGACCTGCCCAGAAAGGTGGCACACCACAGAGTAAAATATAGAGGATAACTCCAGCACTCCAAACATCGACCTCGGGGCCATAGTTCCTTTTAAGAACCTCTGGAGCCATGTAATAAGGGCTTCCAACTATCTCATTGAATTGCTCACCTGTCAAAAGTAGCAAGCTTGAGGTACAATGAAGGATAAACATTAGAGGAGACATAGCTTACGCAATTTTCAAAGATAATTTCTGGCCAAACATGGAAGAAAAATTAAGAAGAAAGGCTTGAAGAGGCTGAAATTATCAATATCTTTGATGCAGTGTAGTACCAGGTTTAAAGAAGACTGACAGTCCAAAATCAATTGTCTTCAATGGTGAGGTTTCCTTCTTATTTGCAAAAAGAAAATTCTCTGGTTTGAGATCACGGTGCATGACCCCATGCTTGTGACATACCTGCAAGAAAATGCATATACACAAACTAGAAATTTAAGAATGGCAAGTCACCTGCTGAGTATAAACACAATGAAAGATAGAGGGAAATGAAGACTGCTCAAGTAGCAAACCCTTAAAAAGTAGCTATTAAAAAGGGTTCAGATTGAGAGATTATAAACTAAAGGGGGGAAAACTAATGAATAGTTCCAACAGATCTTTGTGAGGGGAAGGAAAAGGACTATTAAAAGGGGGGGTGTGAAATCAAGGGTGCACAGAGGAACTTCCTTTTGAAGCTTTTAACAAGCAAACTCCAGAAGTTGGATAGACATAGGAATGATGCCAGTGAAGATTCCGTATTAGCTACTGCAAAGGCTTCTAATTTATCTCATAAATAACTGTCAGAGGAATGCCAAAAAAGAATACACCCATAAAGGCAAATCTTATACCAAAGTGGCAGACAAAGAATTTCAGTTCAAAATTTTGTTAGAAAAAGTGACCGTTCAAATAAAATTAGCACAATCCAATATGATGACATGATCGAGGAATCTCTAGAATTGACAAATTAGAATTGGATTATCAAGGAAAATTAACAAAATCCCATCAAGGAAGAGGAAAAAAGAAAGCATCTCAGAACACAGTGCACATCCAACTTAAGATTAAAAACATCAAAAAAGATATGCAAATTCAACAACACAAGAAAAGTGAATCAAAATTTCAACCTGAACAACTTCAACAATAGTCCGCATGACCACTGCAGCAGCACGCTCTGTGTAATGCCCTCTTGCAACGATCCTGTCAAATAACTCTCCCCCCTCACACAGTTCCATCACAATATGCACAGCACTGTCATCCTCGTAAGTGTCCTTCAAAGAAACAATATTTGGGTGCTTAGGTAAATGCTTCATTATCTCTACCTCCCTCCTCACATCCTCTATATCCACTGCAGTTCTAAGCTTCTTCTTGGATATGGATTTACAAGCAAATTTGTCCCCTGAGTCTACATCAGTGCACAAATATGTTACACCAAACTCGCCACGCCCCAGCTCACGTCCTAGTTCATACTGAGCTGAAATATCAAGACCAGTGCGGTCCTTCAAAACCCAGTTAGTAGCTCCAGATCCATTGGTCACAGCATAATCCTCACCATAAAAGGGATTTGGCTTGTTCTTGTTTTTCCCTTTCTTCTCATATTCAGATGGGGTTGCACAGCAATTACCCATGAGGTAAAACCACAACAAGGTTCAAAATTTTCAACTTCCCTGAGATTTCAAGGAGACCCCATAAGCAAACAGACCCAAATAAAGAAACAAGATCTAGACTTTATTATACCCAACAAGCTAAAAGTAGATATGATTAATAACCAAAATAAAGACTGAGATCCATTAATCAAGTTACTTTCGAAGAACACAGTCTTTGCCAAACAGAAAAGGATAGGGAACCAAAAAAAAAAAAAAAAATACTCCAAGAAAATCGGGCTGATTTTAAATTTTGAAAAGAATAAGCAGAAACAGCCCCAGAAAAGTTAGATTCTCAAAGAAATTAACTGGAAAAAAAAATTTACAAATTTCCTAATAGAAGTGCCAACTTAAACTGCATTTCTCAAAAAGAAGATGTATGAAATATATTAAATCAAAAAAGAAAAAAACTTCAAGCATCTATACATAAAAAATAAACAGTACTAAAAAGAAGTGCAAGGAAAGAAATACCCACCTGGGAATTTTTTGGGATTTGGAGATCTGGGAAGAGAATACAGGGAAAACCCAGATTGGTTTTGGAGCTGGATGAGCTTTGAAATCTAAGTTTAATGCCAAGAAATGAAGAGTTTGGTGGATGTTAAACGATGAATTCAAGGTGTGGGAAAAAAGCTGGAGAGTCAACCAATTCCGTAGAGACTCATGTCTCTACAAAAAAATAAATAAATAATAATAATAATAATACTACCTCTCTAACAAATCACAGTACAAAATTTTCCTTTATTTTCTTTCTATTTTTTTCCGTTTCTCCTGTTTAGGATTCAACGCTGTAAGGAGACAGAAAGAAGGAACCCTTCTGTCTGGTTCCTGTTTTTGTCTTCTTTGGTTGAGGCTATCTACTTCCTCAATAAATGTAAACAGCCAAATAAATATAAATAAGCCTATTAATTGATAATAATATATATAACTTAAAATTTTATATAAATATAATATATAAAAATTATATATAAATATATCAAAAATGAGTGTAAGATTACATTTTATTTAACTATTAGCGAAAGAAACACAAACCTTTATCCACCAATGATTAAAAGTTGCAACAGTAGCATTGATCTCTATATTTATTTTTCATTAAAAGAAGGCCTATTAAGCAAATTTTGTTTTGTTACCTAAATTCAGGGTAAGAGTTGAAATTAGTCCAAAAATATAATTTCTTTGAGACTGTGGATTTAAGGTGTGCAAGCTTAAGATCATTTAGTTTAGAAAATATTCAGATAATTAGGAATTTGAGTCTTTATTAAAAATGTTAAATTTAAATTCCAAAGTAAATGACTAGAAGTTTATAAAAAAAGAAAAAGATATATTTTTTATTATATAATTTATTATTTAATACAAAAAAATTTAAGATCATTTAAAAATAATTAATTTCAAAGTATATACGGGTTGATACAAAAAT